AATTTAAACTTCAAAAATAAAATGTTGTAAAAAAAACAAAAATATATATACTATATTTAACATTTTTCAAAAGTTTAAGGGGCACATGTTAACAGAAAAAAGAACTCCGTTAATATAGTTAATGAAATGTTTGTTTAGTAGATCATTTTGAAAAAAAAATGTTTCTAAATTAATTTGAAATAAACTACATAGTTAATAAACTATTTATTAAATTTAATCATTCTGTAGGATGCCTTCCCATCAATACTTCTAATGCCACAACAACAAAACTATAAACATCACACTTTTCTGTTACAACCATTGTATAAGCAAGCTCTGAATAGAAAACACACATAATATTTAACATGTTAATTCAACAATAGAGAATGAAATAAGATAATAGTATAATAATGGTGATGGAGAAAACCTAGGGCAATATAACCATAGGTGCCAATTACTATGGTATGATTGGAAGAATCAGGATTTAAAAGCTTAGCATTTCCAAAATCTGAAACAAAAGCCTCCAGTTTTAAGTTCAATAGAATGTTGTTGCTTGATATGTCTCTATGAAGGATGGATGGGATGCAGTTATGCTGAAGATAAAACAAAGCATGCACTATGTTTTTTATAACGTTCACCCTTTTGTTCCAATCCAGCTCCATAGCTTCTTCGTCATTTCTGAGCACACAAAACAAGCTTCCTCTTTCCATGTATTGATAGATCAAAAACATGCGTCTCTTGTGTAGGTAGAATCCATGAAGTTTCATAGTGTTCTTGTGTCATATTTTTGTCAACATCTTAACCTCATTCTTAAAACACTTGTCAAAAGTTGGATCCTCTACTTCCCTTTAATGAAGTTTCTTCAAAGCGACTATGCCATTTAGCAAGAGTGCTCTATAAACACTTCCATAGCCACCGGGGCCAATGTAATATTTGATGTCAAAATCGTTAGTTGCTTCAATGATTAAAAATAAATATTAAAAATATCATTTTTATTTTTGTATTTTTTTAATATTAATATGTAAAAATACATTAATATTCTTATAAAAAAAATTTAGCGAACATTATGGGAAAAGGCTGTCCCAACCAAATTCCCCTAGATGTTGCTAAGTCATCCTGAGGGTAAGTTAAATGTAATGGATTAGGACAATGATACATTCACCTCATCCGTTACACACTCTGTTACACCCCTCACTTCGTTAGCATCTCCGTTAGCCTCATGTTCTCTACTATTCATTGTCCTCACGAGTTCTCTGTATTCTTCACTTGGAACTGCATGCTAACCCAGTTCTCTCTCCTTTCCTTTCTCCTTCTTTCTGTTCACTGTCCTCACCAAATCCATCTTCCTCCTCACCTCTATCCTCATCCTAATCATCTGCAGCCTCATCTCCTTCTTCTTCATCATTGTCGTCGGTTTCACTGGCATAGGGCATGAAGTTAAGCAAGT